TGGGAACGCATCACGGATATCTTTCTCGACAACAAGCACTCTCGTGCTGTACATTTGGAAAACCTCTTCTCCAACACCCGTCTGGAAAATTTTCCAAATGTTCTGGCCTACTGCCGCACCCTCAAAACCTTGGCAACTCAATTGCAAAACGTGGGTTCTCTGGTTACTAATGAACGCCTGGTGCTTCGTTTGGTCAGCGGCCTTCCCGCCCAATACGACACCGTGGCCTCTTTCATTCAGCAGACTGTTCCACTCCCTACGTTTCAGAATGCTCGTTCCATGATTCTCCTGGACGAGACCCGGAAGGCACAGCAACTCGGCACACCTTCTGCCAGCGCCCTCCTACATAGCGCCACATCTCCACCTGCTGCTCGCTCCAGCCCACCTAACCGCGGAGGACGTTCTGCCAAGCGCGGTCGTGGCGGTCGTGGTGCACCTCGGCCCGACATCCCTCCTAACGCTTGGACGTCACCACCACCATGGGCTTAGTGGATGCCGCCTTCCCCTTGGGCCATGCCGCCATGTCCCTACCCATCTGCTCCTTGGGTTGCTCCCTCCTCTCCTCGCCCAAATCCTGGTGCCGGCATACTTGGTGCTCGTCCACCACAGGCGCATCTTTCAGGACCAGCCCCTACACTCACGGATGTCAATGCTGCAATGCACACCATGACACTCACGCCGCCGGATAGCAATTGGTATATGGACACGGGGGCGACGTCCCATATGACGTCTGACACAGGTACTCTCACCTCTCTTTCTCAATTAGGTACTAAACAATTTATTGTAGTTGGCAATGGTAACACCATACCTATTTCGGGCCTTGGCACGACTACCCTACCCCCCCCCCCCTCATCCCCCACTCCAACTTCAAAATGTCCTTCACGCCCCATCCATTATAAAAAATCTCATTTCAGTACGTCGTTTTTCTACTGATAATTCTGTTTCCGTTGAATTTGACCCTGTTGGTTTTTCTGTGAAGGATCTCCACACGGGCAGCCTACTCATGAGATAAAATAGTTCGGGTGATCTCTACCCTCTTCAGCCCACCATTTCCAGATTTTCTCCTTCAGCTTTCCTCACCACCTCGGCGACTACTTGGCACCACAGGCTGGGACATCCCGGGGATCCCGTTTTTAGTTTTCTTAGAACAAATAATACTATCCATTGTACTCGTTTAAATCAATCACTCTGTCATTCATGTGAACTTGGCAAACATACCAAATTGCCATTTCCCCCCTCCCTCTCCTTTACTAGTTATCCATTTGAAATAATACACAGCGATTTATGGACATCTCCTGTTCTTAGTTCTACTGGTCATCGATACTATTTAATTTTTGTTGATGATTATACTAACGTCAACCTACTTTATCCCGCTCAAGTGCCGAGGCAGAATATCGTGGAGTAGCTAATGTTGTAGCGGAAACATGTTGGCTCCGCAACTTATTACTTGAGTTACGTTGTCCTCTTAACAAAGCTACACTAGTATATTGTGACAACATCAGCTCTGTTTATATGACTGGGAATCCGGTTCACCATCAGCGCACCAAACACATTGAAATGGATATTCATTTTGTCCGGGAAAAGGTCGCTCATGGTGATATTCGTGTCCTTCATTGATGGAGTATATGGCCCAGGGACCCCCGGCCCATAGACTCCTACTTCTCCTACACAAGTCCATTGAGCCCAGGAAACAACTCAGGCCCAAATACAACGGCTCAAGCCCCAAAGTAGCCCGGGATACACACTGGGGTGCCTTCGGCCTCCTTGGCCGAAGGCTCCAAAACTCACAGGATAGCCTTCTCTGGCATAAGAAGCTACCGGAAGAAAACGGACAAAAAGATGAGCCTTCGGCATTCTCATGCCCTCGGCACCAGGGGAAGCCCTCGGCTACACAAGGAGCCCTCGGCTACACAAGAAGCCTTCGGCTACACAAGAAGCCTTCGGCTACACAAGGAGCCCTCGGCAACACAAGGTGCCTTCGGCTGAACAAGCTCAATCATCGGAGATTCCTTTTGGAGACAGCCAACCACCGCATTTAATGCCACGTCACATCCGCCAACCGCATTCAATGCGGTTGACGTACCACTGCCGGTGCCACTAGGCTGATGTGACCCTTCGGCCGTTGGATTACTGACACGTGTCCTCTCATCGCATTTATTGCTGCTATAAATAGCAGCCCTTATTCTCCTTATAAACCACGCTGAGTTCATTTAATAAAGTCGACTCTCTCTCCTCCTATTTGCTCTGACTTCTCTCTAGTTATTTCCGCAATAACCCCCCGGATAAGATACCCCCCGGGTAGACTATCCATCATTCATATTCCATCCCGCCGTCAATTTGCTGATATTTTTACAAAGGGTCTGCCTCGAATTTTATTTGATGAATTCCGGTCCAGTCTCAACGTTCGTCTCTCTCCCGTTTCGACTGCGGGGGCGTGTTAGCCGCTATTATTATGCATGCGGTATTATCCCTCATGCATACGTTATTATCATCACACGGTCTACTAATATAAATATTCTAATATATTCGTTTGTATATATCTAATATATTAGCCACTTGTATTGTTACCGATCCCTTCGTTTTAGGTAGCTTCAACAGTAATGTACCTAGACTTATTTATGTACGTATGATGTATTAGATAGAAGTTTGTATCAGATAGGATTGCTTTGTAATCAGCCTATTAATAGGTACGATCAATACACTTTGGATTACGGTGAATTCATTCTTCTAACTGTTTTTAAATTGTTAAGGCTTACTCCGGCTAAAATTGGAGTAATAGTTATTTGACGGACAAAACCAAAAGCTACCCGGCTAAAATTACAAATCTTCCTAAATTTTAATGAAGTTTTACACTACTTGAACTTAAATATCTATATAATCAACAAAAGTACGTTAATTACAATGCTAAGTGTATCCCCCAAAAATGTTTGAAGTTTTAATTACGTTTTAGGATGTTTTTACTTGTACTAGAATTTACTGGTTTGGTCTGGTCTGATCTATTTAAGTCTGATCTGGTCTGGTGTGAACTGGTCTGGTCTTTGTGTATTTTATAACTGTGGAAGTCTGATCTGAACTGGTCTGTTTAAATCTGGTCTGATTTGGTCTAGGGCCGAAAACAAGTAAAAACATCTTTATATCTTAAATATTTATATGATAAACGTAAGTGACAATATAATGCTAAGTTTATCCCCAAAATCTTTTATGTTTTATATTGTGCACTTAATATTATACATATAGACAAAAATTTATAGTCGTGTTAAGAAAACTTTTAATACTCCGTATAAAAGTTCAAAATATGATTGGATTGGATATTGAACTCGCACCTCTCTAAGATTTGGCAGTTTAAAAAGCACATTTCAACTTAAAATGCAATTTGGATATTCGTTTGCTTTTTGTGATGAAATTGCACTGAAAATATTAGAACTTTGAGGGATATGGGAAAATGAGTGTTTGCTAGGGTTTTGAGACAGAGAAATATGAAACGTACAGTTTTAAATTAGAGCTTTAGCTTGGCGGATTAATTAAGCAACTTGGTCTCACTCAAAATTAATCAGCGTGTCAAATAGTTATAAATTGAATTTTAATCACACAAGAATGAAAATTGCTTAAGATGAGTTGCACCCCGGTTTTTGGACGGCACTTTCGTGTCATATGTCAAACGTGAGATGTACCCATTCAGGAATAAAAAGTTATATTTCAATGTGAATAGTAACATCATGTAACTTATGTAATTAGGATCCTAAGATGTGAAAATAATGGAATCTATAAAGTCGTTCAATTCATTAGAACACAATTTTAATAATGGGGATGTTTCGTTTCAGTATAAATAATAATCGAGATAGAGTTGTTTAAGTTAAGAAATTAAAAATTGTTTTGAACTCTATATTACATTACACAATAACAAACTTCTTAAGCGACCATATTTCTTTGTAAGAGTGCATGCAGGCCCTTGTTTTAAACTTGAACACATATACTCTAACTGATCTTAGTAAAGTAGATGAGTGGAGCATTAGACGATCACCTAAATAGTAATGTAGCTGTTTGCGACCAAGCCTTTGTTTTTAATTGGACTAAAATTTTTTGATCCGGTCTAATCTAATTTGGTATGGTCAATTTATATCTGGTCTGACCTGAACTAATCTTGTCTAGTTTGTTGGATGTTTGATTTATCTATATTTTATAATTGTCGAAGTGTGGTATGACCTGATGTGTTTACGACTGTTATGATCATGTCAAGTCTAGTCTGGGACTCAAATTAGTCCAACCAAAAACATTCTAAGTTCTTTACTAGTTATGATTCACATACATGCATGCAACTACATGGTATGCACAAGTTTATGTACACCTAGTTTTTTCCTCGAAGCAAAAAAAATACATATGAGTAATTGATTCAGTACTTCTGAATATTTAGAAGATATTTCCGCTTGAGTCGTGGGACATTTACAGAGGAGTAGAGAAAGGGGAGACTGACATCATCTTCACCACAAGAACTTCTTCACTGTTCCAATTGACCCCAAACCAAGAAGTCTTCTTGGCAAGCAATAAAAACCCATCACTAAAAGTGTGCGATTATAAGATGGAGACTTGTCACAGGATGTTCTTGCCGCCTATTAGTAAAATCTTTGCTCAACCATCTTATGCCTTAATAGCTGAGGTTCGTTCATTTGCTTGTTAATTAATTGTATTAACCCGCTTTAATTTATTTAATCTTTGAATTGATTTGAATCAATGTTATTATAACAATAAATAAGACCATCATGTTTTTATTCTTTAAATATGAGTGATTACTGTCATGTTTTCGCAGTACTAAACTTTAAACATGAGATTATTTTCCAAGCTTGATAGCAATTAGTCTTATTTAGCGAATAAAAACATGACGGTTCTTTTTTCATATTCTCACACAATTATACTCCTATTTCGAGAATTTTTCAAAATATAGTGGTGCGGATGATGTATACTCCTCCGTATATCACAAGTCTATTTGGTAAAACTGAAATTGGATGAAATTTATAAAATTTTAACTGAAATAAATGTATTGACTGATTCTGAAGAATCATGGAAAAAGAATAAATTATGTTTGGAAAAAAGGTCAAATACACCATCCTACTGTATCAAATACATACATCAATCCAACTCATCTACTAGACAAAGTATCAAATAAATACGCACTACTTGAAAATCAGGGATTGAGACAGATTACTAGATGAAAACTCTGGTATTTGACATTTGTTTTCCATTTTTTTATTTACTTTTTTCCATTTTTCTTTTTTCCTTGGTGTCTTTGATAGTACTTCATGATAGATTATAATATCTAATGTATTTATTAATTAAAGTATTACTTGTACTTATCTCTTTGTAGTTCGGTTGTATTAGATAGAATACTATCCCTGTATCTCGCAAAAAAAAAAAAAAGAATACTATCCCTGTAAATCATATACTCCATCCTTATCACATGTAAGTATGTAACTACCTGAGAGTTTAGTGCGAATATATCAATATAAATGGCCAACTAATCTATACGATTGGTTAAGCCTTTTCAGCCACTTTATTATCTTTCATGGTATCAGATACCTTCAATCATTTGATTGATTCATAAACGAACCCATTATGACGTCTTCTAATACCTCTTCATCTCATCTTATTCCCACCCAAAAATATCTTCCGTAGCTAATATCTCTAAAGCAACAACGTGGGGCTTGACGAAGCCCATAGAGTGACCGAAGCAGCCTGCACACCTGTCCCGGTTTAGCTGATGAATAACCGGGGGTAAATGCATGTACACCTCCTCTTGTAAGTCACCATGCAAGAAGGCATTGTCGACATCCATCTGATGAGTCTCCCATCCGCGAGACGCAGCTATGGCCAAAATAGTACGTACTGTGACCATTTTGGCAACTGGCGCAAAGGTCTCGTCGTAATCAATTCCCTGTACCTGGCGATTACCTCAGACTACAAGTCTGGCTTTATAACGATCAACGCTTCCATCACTCTTATGTTTGATCTTGTAAACCCATTTACAATAAATAGGTTTCTTACCAGGGGAAGATCCTGTAATTTCCACGTACCTGTGCGTTCCAATGCATCGATTTCATGCTGCATGGCAGCCCGCCAATTGGGATCACTGACTGCCTCACGAAATGTATTTGGTTCCCTAGTGATCGAAATGGCTGCAAGAAAACCACAATGCTGCACCGAAAAACAGTTATAAATTACATAACGAGATAAGGGATACGGGTTACCTGAATCAACTAATGAAGACGAGGAAACAACCGGAGGAGTATCTATTTTCATAGTACTAATCTGCACGGCGTAGTCTTTATGCCACAACGGCTGGTGCTTTGGTCGTGTACTGCGTCGTACATCGGCTTCAGATGTGTGAGTGCGGCCAGCCTAATGATTATGTGAAACAGATGTCGTATTCCCCATATCCTCAACACTGCCAGTACCCAATGATGTTGATGTATGACCCATGTTCCCATGCATGCATGTACCATCATCATTCGTATCTTCATGCATGCCATCGAGATCATCTCCAATAAGATGGGACGGTGGTTGCATTACCACTATGTTGAGATTCAAGATCATACAATCTCCAACCCTTTTAAGAATAAGGATACCCTAAAAAAACACATTTCAACCCCCTTTGAGAAAATTTATCACCATTAGTCCCGTGTGAACGTGCATAACAGAGGCAACCAAAGACACGAAGATGTTCGTACTTGGGTGCCTTGTTATACAATAACTCATAAGGGCTCTTATACTCCAAAACCGGAGAAGGCAACCGGTTTATAAGATAACATGAAGTCAACACACACTCGCCCCAAAAATCAATAGGAAGGTGAGCATGAAAACGAATAGTCCGCGCTATATTTAAAATATGCCTGTGTTTACGTTCAACCCGTCCATTTTGCTGTGGAGTGTAAACACAAGTTGTTTGAAAAATAATTTCATGATCCATAAAATAATTTTTCAAACACTGAAATTCTGTCCCGTTATCACTCCTAACAATTTTCACCCTTTTGTTAAATTGACGATCCACCAACACAAGAAATTGTTTAAGTATTCGGGACACCTCACTTTTTTCTTTCATCAAAAAAACCCATACCGCACGTGAATAGTCATCAACTATAGTCAAGAAATAACAAGCACCACATGATGCAGGAGAACAATATGGACCCCTGGCGTGCACTTGTCGTGATGTGCACTCAAAATAATAATACAATACAACACTTATACGTAGTATAGCGTAGTAAGGTTCGTATCCACAGGGAAAGGAATACTTTTCTTTTTATAGAACTAGTAACAAAATGGGGGGTTTTAGTTTGATTTGGTTTAATAAATTGAACACGAAGATGAACAAGTTGTGTGGTTTAATTAATGAGAAGAAGACTTGGCTTTGCTTTTATCCACTTAATGAAATGTTCGTCGATCCCAGTTATATCTTTAACTATCTTCCTCTCGAATACTCAATCGAGGAGTATATCCAATTCATCGAGGGTAGTTATTAATAACGAGACGCGTTCATTAATAAAACTTACTTCCGAGTCAATATAGAACAAGCGCCGTATATTAACTTGATAGTAGCAATAAAATCAAGATGAAAACGATTGAGATTGATAACCTCAACACAAGCGGTTTATTGGTTTAATCAATATAATTAATTCCCCTTGGCTTATTAATCATGAGAAGCATGCATTAACAACCCAAGTTTACTACCATTGAAAGAACCGAATTAATAACAAGCGTATTAACCGATTGATTCTAGTAATAATTAATATATGAAACAAAACTAGTTGATCCTTTAAGTAATGTTCAAAATATTAATATGAAATATGAATAGGAATTAATTAATACTCAAGAAAGAATATTAAAGAAGATGAATCCTACTATAGTTAATATCAAGATGTTAACTAATTGTCATCTTAGTAACACTCCCCGATATTAACGTAGAGGAAGAAATAACTATTACTATAACTAATGTCAAGATGTTAACTAATTGTCATCTTAGTAACACTCCCCAACATTGATATAGAAATAGTATTTAGAGAAAGAATTAATATTCAAGGAAGAAGATTAAAGATAATAACTCACAACTTACAAATTCATTAAGCTTCAAAGTAGCAAAACCAAGATGGAAGAGTTTAGCTCCTCATTTGGAGACTAAACATGCTATAAAAATATAAAAGAAATACTATTCTAAACTGAGCTTAAGAGTATGGAAGAAGGGATGTTTTTTTGTGAAGGAAAATGGGGCTATTTATAGGTGTTTTTCAACACCTTTGGCCGGGTACCCGACCGGGTAAAGTGCCCACCCGACCGGGTGCATGTCAAAATCAAATATCCTACACGTTCTGGCGATCTTCGGCACGTTCTGGTGTTCCGGGTCAAGTCGGACCCGACCGGGTGAAATACCTCACCCGACCGGGTGATGTAATTTCCTGAGTACCTGCGTCTGTTAAATCAGACCCGACCGGGTGAAGTGTCTGACCCGGCCGGGTCTGTGCACCTGGATATTTTTCTTCTTCTTTTCACTTCTTTTTCTTGCCAATAACTCTACTACTACTTTACAACTTACTAAAAATGATTAAAATCAATTACAAACAAATGAAGATGATTGCTTAAAAACTAACTAAAAATGGTAAACAATCCACACAGAATAGATATAAAAACATACATTTATGCACTACAAACTAGTGCATATCAACCCCACACATCACAATGTATTAAATCAAAAACTGCAAAAGCTCTGGAATCACTAATATGAAAAACGTCACGTGTCTTTTTTCCACGCAAGCATGCGTCACAACTTTTATTTAAACTAGAGTCCAACATGGAATTATTCAAAGCAATAACAGAACGTAAAACTTTGACTGATGGATGTCCTAACCGGGAGTGCCACTGACGTGCACTTTGTCGTGATGTGCACTCAAAATAATAATACAATACAACAATTATACGTAGTATAATGGAGTAAGGTTCGTATCCACAGGGAAATGAATACTTTTCTTTTTATAGAACTAGTAACAAAATGGGGGGTTTTAGTTCGATTTGGTTTAATAAATTAAACACGAAGATGAACGAGTTATGTGGTTTAATTAATAAGAAGGAGACTTGGCTTTGCTTTTATCCACTTAATGAAATGTTCGTCGATCCCGGTTATATCTTTAACTATCTTCCTCTCGAATACTCAATCGAGGAGTATATCCAGTTCATCGAGGGTAGTTATTAATAACGAGAAGCGTTCATTAATAAAACTTACTATCGAGTCAATATAGAACAAGCGCCGTGTATTAACTTGATAGTAGCAATAAACTTAAGATGAAAACGATTGAGATTGATAACCTCAACACAAGCGGTTTATTGGTTTAATCAATATAATTAATTCCCCTTAGATTATTAACCATGAGATGCATGCATTAATAATCCAAGTTTACTACCATGAAAGGACCGAATTAATAACAAGCGTATTAATCGACCGATTCTAGTATTAATTAATATATGAAACAAAACTAGTTGATCCTTTAAGTAATGTTCAAAATATTAATATGAAATATGAATAGGAGTTAATTAATACTCAAGAAAGAATATTAAAGAAGATGAATCCTACTATAGTTAATATCAAGATGTTAACTAATTGTCATCTTAGTAACACTCCCCAATATTAACGTAGAGGAAGAAATAATTATTACTATAACTAATGTCAAGATGTTAACTAATTGTCATCTTAGTAACACTCCCCAACATTGATATAGAAATAGTATTTAAAGGAAGAATTAATATTCAAGGAAGAAGATTAAAGAGAATAACTCACAACTTACAAATTCATTAAGCTTCAAAGTAGCAAAACCAAGATGGAAGAGTTTAGCTCCTCATTTGGAGACTAAACATGCTATAAAAATATAAAAGAAATACTATTCTAAACTGAGCTTAAGAGTATGGAAGAAGGGATGATTAAAAGTGAAGGAAAATGGGGTTATTTATAGGTGTTTTCAACACCTAATGCCGGATACCCGGCCGGGTATTTGCTATACCCGACCGGGTATTTGTCAAATCAAATCTTCTTCCCATGTTCTGGTGTTCTTTTGCACGTTCGTTTGCCCGAAATCACTTCATACCCGACCGGGTATAGGGAATACCCGACCGGGTATTTGATAAAACTTCCCAGAAGCTTCGTTTTTCACCTTATACCCGACCGGGTAAATGCCATACCCGACCGGGTAACTCACCAAATCACATTTTTTGCATGATTTCTTGCTCCCTTGCACCTTCCTTTGATCTTATAAGATATCTTCCATGCTCCTTTGTTGTAGACTAATTTATTCAAGCTTAAGATCTAAAACAAATAAATTACAATAAACTAGGAAAAATAAAGTATTACACCAAAAGTGTGTAATTTCTCAAACAACAATAAATAAAACTAGTTAAAATTACAAATATAAACCATAACAATTCTATACTATCAAACTCCCCCCTACTTAGTCCATTACTCGTCCTCGAGTAAAATATCGGCATAACGGTCCACAATCCACAGAACAGATAAATTTAAAGGAATTAAATGTTCAGTTTCGCATCCCTCCTCAAATTACATGAGTTCATGTATAAACTCAGATAAAATTTCCTCTCATTCTCTCATTCTGCCTAGGAGCCCTTTCAGGTTTTCATCCTAGCCTCTCATTTTTTTTTTCTTGTTTTTTTTTTTTTTTTTTTTTTTCAACTCACTCATTTTAGCCACTTTTGCTTAGATTGCCCAATTTTGGGTTTTCAACCTAACTAGCATTTTTTCTTTTTTTCTTTTGTTTCCTTTTTTTTTTTAAAGTAGTAATGCAAGTTCAAGGTGGAAAAAGGAGTACATACCAAATGAGTGACTCCCCCCTACTTAGTCCGAGCACTGTCTCTAGTGCTTCCAATCATTGTTGCTTGTTTTTTTTTTTTTGGATTGGAGAGATGAAAGTATTGGAATTCGGATTTTGAGGGTTTGGGGCTAGGTTTCGGATTTTTGATTTGGGAGAATTTAGTGGGCTTTGTGAATATGGGGATAGAGAGGGTGATGTGGAGAAGAAGAATATGGGGTTGATTTGGGTTTTTAATGGACGAAAAGGGCGGGTTCGAAGCTTGTTTGCTCAACAATGGAGGTTTTTGTTTGAGCTCTCAAATTTGGGGAAGAAGATGGGAGGTTTTGGGGCTGATTTGGGGTTAAAATGCCCGTATACCCGGCCGGGTATTCCTTATACCCGAATGGGTATTTCGTTAGTCTAAAGCAGTGGCTGTTTCGCCGGTTTACCCGGCCGGGTTTTACAAATACCCGGTCGGTTTTTTTTCCAGGCCTCATCAAAAAAACTGTTTTTTTTTTTTTTTTTTTTTTTTTTTTTTGAAAATAAAATTGTTCACTCTCTAACAAACACTCAAAATAAACAACACACAATGTAAAAAAAAACTTGGGTTGCCTCCCAAAAAGCGCTTGATTTAATGTCGCGGCACGACGTTATTTTTATTTTGTTTTCTGTTTTAAGTGGGATCATGAACATCCCTCGCTTTTTCAAAGTCCTTGTTAGGCCAAGTTTTATTTTTCTTCTTCGGCCTTTTCCAGTAAGGCCGAGTTTTAGTTCTCATCACCACCTCAACCGTAGGTGGATTTAATTCACAATTTAAAACCTCTCCTCTAACCAATGATAATTCCACATGCTTTTCTTTTTCAAAAATTGGGATTTTCTCACCTTTTTCAAAAATATTCCGTTCTTGTGGTTCCAAAACGTTTAAAGAACAAAGAGTTTGATCTTTCATTTGTTTTTTCGAAGAGTCAAAGATATTGAACTCTACTTTTTGGTCATCGAACTCCAAAGTTAGTGAACCACTAGACACGTCAATTTTTGTTTTTGCGGTCTTTAAGAAGGGTCTACCCAAAAGGATGGGTGTTGTTTGGTCATCATTTCCCATTTCAAGGACATAGAAGTCAACAGGGAAAACCAAATTTTCTACTTCTACTAGCACATCTTCTATTACACCCTTTGGGTAAGTATTAGATCGATCCGCTAGTTGAATCACTACACCAGTTTGATGTAGCGGGCCGAGTTGTAAGGATTTATACAAGGAATAAGGAATGACATTTATTGATGCTCCTAAATCCAACAACGCCTTAGAAAATATGGTGTCCCCTATTTTACAGGGAATAGTGAACATGC